GGGGGGGGGGAGGAGGCTGTGATTAGTAAAGTTTTTCCTGTAAAGCATCACCGTATGGAGTGGAGCGAGTCCTGCTGAGATCAGAGTGGAAACAGGAGGAGCAGGAAGAAGAACACTGCCCCCTGTGTCCAGGAGTCAGGGGACGATGAAGAGAGTGAATGGATACGGTCTGAGTTACGGCCTCACTTGGCAGTGAACGAGTCCGCGACCGTGAACTGGTGAAGGTCAGGTGATCCTCAGCTCAGTCGCTGACCCTCTGAAATAACACCACCATCAGATGGAGCCTGGATGTGGAGGTTGGGTGGGTGTGTAATAAAAATAGGCCGATCAAGTTTGTTGGGCTTCAGGGTTGGACTGAGATACCGTCTGACCCATGGGGGCAAATGCTGGGGCGCCACATGCTGGTGAGGCACTGGAAGCTCATGAGATTTAAAATAACATGTAACTCCAATATTTGAGACATCGAGGGTTTCACAGAGAACTATTAGATATGAGTGATGTTTAGCAAAACAAGACCAGAGGCTGCACAGGGAAGAGGCTTCTAAGCGGAGGATTGCAAGTTTGAATTTTGACCCAGCAGCGCTCTTGAGCAAGCATTACAAACCAGCAGCAGCCAGAGTTCCTTTCACTGTTTCTGTTTCTCATGTATGACAATAAATTCTTAGGAGAAATGTAGTCATACGTAACTATCTTTTTTTCTTCTTCATATTGTCTGTTTTATGTACCGCACTTATTCAACTCTTTGTTTTCTTTCAGATTTGTTGTTAAAAAACTATTTTGTCCAATCATTATATATTATATAAACGATTATTTGTCTGGTTGTCTGGTTTTGTCCAATCATTATATATTATATAAAAGATTATTTGTCTGGTTTAAAAATCTGATGTAAAATCATTATATTTGTTCAAATAAAAACACAGGTTATCAAAGTTTCACACGAACTGTCTGAAGTGTCTCTCATCAACTATTCTCTCTCTCTCTTTTTCGAGGCTTCGTTCAGTTTGTGATTGAACAGAGAACAAACGTCTGGTCTGCTCCTCCATCACGGCTCTGTCAAACTGCCTGTGTTTTTTGTAAGAGTCCTTGAAAACAAAAGCCTGAGATTCTGAGAAGAGCCTTCATTACTCATCTGTTGTTTCAGTCAGCGAGGCACAACTAATGATTTTCTCTAGAAAAGAAATGGGAAATTAAAAAACCAAAAGAATAACCTTAAACACGAGGTCAATGATGGGGGAAAATAAAACTCTTTTCTAAACTCAGTTCTGACGTTAACATCACATCAGTAAATATTTAGTAAGTAAAAAAAGTTTTTTTATTCTTGTTTCTTTTATTTTAATGATTAAATAATGAATTATTCATTTAGGGATAAAAAATATTTTTGCTAAAAATAATCAATCAACCCTCTGCAACAATAAACCCATCGTTGTGATGTGTAAATGTTTGATTTACAGTAATTTTAGTTTACAATTTGAGTTTGCAGTGAGATTTATAAAACTAAAAATAAGTTAACGAATAACGAATACAATAATACTGATCCTATAAAACAACAGTAACGTTTTTTTATTGATTTAAAGTCACTGATCGTCTCCTCACTCACCAGGCAGCAGCATCAGAGCCAGCGCAGCAGTGATGAAGACGCCACAGAAACTGGTCCTCCGTCCTCCGGCCATGACGTCTCACACCTTCTCGTCGTCTCCTGTATGAACCACAGAAACACAACGACGTTTAGCTGTTTGTGAGTTTTTTTTTAATCTTCTCAGTTCTGTAGATGAACCTGCAGACCTGATGAATCCCTGACTAAATGTCCAGACCCTCAGCTGGTCTTCACCTGAGGAGTGGTAAAATGTGACGCCCGCACCTTGGAAGTGAACTTTTAAACCAACGTGTTGCCACACCTCCGGCCCCTGACTGTTTTTTGTCGTCGTAAAACAGAACCAGGTGTTTGTTGTGCAGCCAAACTTGACTTCAACCTGAACTTGAATCCACAGTTTGGAACCTAAAGACGATCCCTGTAGTTTCTCACCTGTGATGCTCTTCTCAGCCTGGAGGTCTGAAGATCCAGATGTGGACTCTGAAGGAGACGACTTGGTCCAACTGGGCTGAGTCTCTGAGTGATTCCTGCCGCACTGTGGCCCCTCTGACAGACTGCCCTGGACCAGGGGCCCTGCACGGTTTTAAACCGGGTCACATCTTCATCATCATCATCATCATCATCATGGACAACACACAACAAGTAATCATTACCACCTGTGCATGTGCACACACACACATGTAGCACCTGAGGGGACACAGGGACACTTCTGTAGGACATGTGATTGGCCGAGTCTTTCTTAGACTTTGGACCAATCACTGGCCCCGTAATTAAGGACAAAAAAAAAAACAGACGAAAGAAGAAAGGACTGGAGAAAAGTGGAGACGTGGAGAAACCAGTTTAGGAAAAGAGTGTTTTTCATCTGACAGACATGTTTTTAACTTTGAGTGACATCTAAGGTGAGAAATGAGTCTGTGGTCAACATCTACAGAACATTCAAAGACAGAGGTGGTTTAAATCAGGCCTGGTCAACATCTACAGAACATTCAAAGAGGTGGTTTAAATCAGGCTGGGATCAACCCTGGCAAATGGACAGATTAAAATGCAGTGAGAAAGAGGAGCGGCAACATTTAGGGTTCATTTTTAACCAAACCTGATGTAGAGTGTGAAATTCTTTAATTACTTAGCATGAATGATCACAGGTGGAGCAGACGATCCTCCTATCGCTGTTTTCATATCGTTCTTAACCTGAATGTGGTTTAAAAAACAGAGACGACTTTGATGTTGTCAGCCAGTGAAAGGACAGGAGGGCAGAAGACAACACCAGGAAAGACGAGAGGAGGAGGAGGAACAGAAGGTGCCACATAGGCAGTTTCCAGAAAAGCTGTGAGCCAAACCACAGCTTAGATGAACACACACACACACACACACAGACAGCTGCTCCACATGAGGAATCTGATAATGTACAGTTTCCTCCTCACTTTAACTGTGTTCAGACATGCCAACCTTTAAACACACACACACGGTGCAGGTTTTTACGCAGAGGTTTTTTTCCAAACTGTTTCTGAGGATTTACCAGATTAAACAGATCTGACAAACTGAAACAATGTCTTATTATTTTAATTTTTTTTATACTTATTTATAATTAAAGTGCCTTATTTGTCCTAAAAAGGGAAACTTAACAGTCTTAACTCTTTGCAACCCACCTTGGCATCCACAGGAGGCACCATTTACAATGTGGTTCCTCTGGAGCTCGAACCCAGGACCTTCTGCTTGTTGAAAATGCTCCTGAAGATATGCTAAACTTTAAACAGTGCTTTTTCTGACACCTGAAGGCAACACAGCCAAGTTTTGTTAAAAAAGTTAAACAACCAATCCCCTTCGAGTCCAGGAACACGTCTGTTTGCACAAACTAAAGCTGTGTGTTTGTCATCAGTTAAAAAAAAAAAAAGATTAATGATATTAAATGTGTGCGTTCTTGATACAAACCATTCCTTTTCAGGAGTGAATTCTTCTCTGCTGA